GTCAAATTCTGAGGGCCACTCTATAAATACAATCATTTTTAGCAAAACTGAATTAGTTATGATTTCTTTTTACTTATATTGCATGTACTCTTACTAAATCGTCAATGTGCATGTTGAATGAATATTTGAAATTACGATACGCATGGAATTCTTCGTGGAAAGATAAAACTGGAAGGTCTTACTTCGCACTACGTGTTTATTAGATTTGCTGGTTCGGTCGTTTCGAAGGTTGATTCATTCGACACGACTTGCTTGGACTCTATGCTTTGCGCCTGGTATCCCAAGTCGTGTTTATATGTTCGCTTATCTGGCCTCTCCGTATATCATATTCCCACACCTCTCCTCCGTTATTTTCCTCATTTCTTTCACGCATCCAATTTGCTACTCCTACTGTCTGTAGCAGTTCACTGTTTCAGGAGGAATTGGATCTACGCTGTTCTGGAACGGATATTAATAATTCTATCTCGAGAAGACCCAGGTCGTCGAGGTGATTATCCTTAGCTTTAATTGCGATATTTTTATGTATGAATATGGACAAGTCACATTTACGTCATTCTTTTCTCAGTAAATTAAATTTAATTGATGATTCTATATTATTAATATAATAATATGTAACGAATTAAAATATATAAATAATTAATTAAAATGCTCGAAAGAAGTATCCGCCTTCCGTTGTAACGCCACATACTACAAGCATTTTCTTCAATCTATATACTTTAATTCGAAAAATATCCTAATTGCTCTATCTGTGTCCACACGACATTTTTTGCTTACTTTGGATTCACTTTTTATACTAATAATTAAAAATTATTCTTTAAATTGCCGCTTATATTTAATACATAAATTATGTCTAATAATATAAGGATGTAGAAGCAACATTCTTGATTTTCGAAAGTTATGTCTCCTTCCTCATTTCAATTTCGATTTACAAATATATTCGCGTTGTTGCATTTATCATTACATATGCAGTAAGAGTGCACATTGACGTTCGCATTGTTTCAGTCCAGTTTGGAGGAAGAAGAGTAATAACGGCATATTCAGCGCCAGCGTGGAGGAAATCAGCGACTCGGATAGCCAATTCTCCTTCTCTAACGAGGAATCATCGTCTATGCATGTACGTGTGATACTTTACCTGTGCCGTAGAAATTATCAACGATAGAAAGCTAAGAACGAGTGAACGGCAATAATTAATGTCCGTGTATGTTTCAGGATACAAACGAGGCGGAGGCTGAGAACACTGACAAAGAAGGCGACTTCAATCTAAAGGTGAGCGACGAACAGGCGATTCAACGTCCTCGTCTCTTACCTCTCGTCATTCTTGCTCGTTCTTGCACGGACATTAGAAAAACCGCTTGCAAAAACCGCTAAATGCGCCGCGCAAGTCTTTTTTTCCCTATATGTTATGCCCGTTCTCTTTTTTTTTATAGCTCTTGAATAATATATGCTTTTTAAGAACGGTAGGAAAAACAGACGTCGCCTATTTTACTACAGGCCGTTAATGACTCGCACATAAATTATGTGTAGGTGATAGCCTCGCGCGGAGACAACATAATCGCCGTGGCGAATCCTGCGCTAATGGAATGCAGTCATCCCATAAAAGAGGAGCCCGCGGACGAAAAACCCACACTGTGATATTATTACTTAGCGTTTACTGCCGCTACCGACAACGTCACGGCGACGTGAACGACGCTCGTCCCCGCAGGTCGTCGCCGTTGTCACCGATCATCATCCGCGCAAACATCGTCCACGTGTGCTATTGATCACGATAGCACTCATGACAGCGCTCGTCGGAATAATACAACACTTGCTAGGATTTTACATCGGTTGGAGCGACCTGTCTCGCTTATCCTTGTCCGAACGAGAGACACTTGACGACGTTATCTAGTTTTAATAACAAAGTACGAGGAAACACGATACTGTATAGCGATTACGATGAACGTTTCTAGAAGGCGATAGATGAATAAAAGTAAGCCGTCTAAATCAAAAGACCGTCGACTGAAGTATGTAGCATTATAAAATGTACATTATAAGCAAATGTAAATATAGGTAAATATATATAGGGTCCGTTTTTTTTACGTGCGCCGTTGCGTCGCAGCTTCATTTGAAAGATACGAAATCACCTTTCGCAGAGCGATCGATCGATTTATCCCGTGTCCTCTGTATACTTTTTAACAGAATATTTACGTTTAATATTCACGTTAATTATTTTATTAAGTAACAACTCTCTGTTGCTCTCACGAAAAGATTACAAAGAAGATAAACGATTCTTTTACGTTTATGGTACGTTTATTCGTCAAAAATAGAGTCGTCTCTACACAACATTAAATATTTAAAAGAAACGTTTCAGAAATCATCTTTCCTATAATGTTCTTTGTTCGAGGCAACAGTTAGCGGAAATAGATAGACTAATAGATTTCGCGGAATTATGATATAGTTTCAGCTGCGTCGCTAGCGAGCATCTCTCGTCTAAATATTGATCGCCGAAAAGGCTGTGCCGACGAAGTTACGAGAACGACTCGAGTTCGCAATGATATATAAACACAGAGAAGAGAATTGATAAGATTGTCGCGATATTTTTGTTGAGTCTAGCGCTAATTTTTAAGTTATAAATATATAAATAATGAAACTCGTAATCTC